TTGTGCATAGTTTTTGATTTTTATTTAGTTATTATTTTACTCTTGTAATTTATATTTTCTGTATATATGTTGTGTTTATGTATCACTATAATTATTGTCTACGTGACAGATTATTATATTTCTAAATAAACAAATAAAAATAATAATTTGACCAAAAGGGATCGGTACTATTTTAGATAAGGCAATAATATAGTAAACTATTTTCACTTTTCCACTGCTACTAGGTTGAGGAAATTATTGTAATCGGGTCAATGTTTTGATGTGCAGTTTTCAACACTTCCGCTAGGTATCTGTGCACTGATACTGAATCTAAAAAAAAAACATATTCTGGACCACAGATGTGTTTGTTTATGTGTACCACGATATCTCTTTAACACCCATTTATTATTTTTTTTTTTGTGTTCTGTGAACAATAAAAAGCGCAAAAAAAAAAGAAAAAAAAAGGCTATCATATATACCATTAAATCATTAATAGTAAAGTAAATAGTAATAGTAAAGAATCTAATCTAAGAATTAAGTATCCATGTTTTTAAAATATTTGTTAAATGATAATTAGTAGTGAGACATTATCGACCGAAATTCTATTTAGAATTGCGTAAAATATCATATTTTTAACTTAATTTAAGAAATCCCATGTTGAAACTTCTCAGGATTTTTTAGCCTTCTCTGTACACGACGCCTTCTCTAAAAAATAAAAAATTATTTTGCTTCGATCTCTGTATTATCAATTCTTGAATAAAATGAAAATACTTATTGTATGTGTTAAGTTAAATTTGTCAGCTAAATGATAAACAACAAGATAAAGGTCTCTCGTTTATTTTTTTTTTATTTGATTATATATTGTATTCTCTTTCATAATTAACCTGGGCCCTTTAACATTTCTCCTGTTCAATTGCCATATTAATTTATTATTCTCAAATGTTTTCATAGGCCTTTTTTTTGTTGCATTTTTCCTTTCTTTTAAATATTATTTTTGTATTTTCAGAGAATTTCAGACTAAATTATATTTGTATGCATTATCCTAGAAACCGAAAAATCATCACACAGATTAATATAATTTTCACATCTAAAATTTTTTTTTTTTATTACATATATAGTATATTTTGTTATTAACTGCATTACTATTTTTCCAGATATCAAAACTATATTCCTCGCTCTGTTGGCTCATTATCAAGTTATCTAGATATCTTCATATTTTCTTTTCAAACCTAATCTCTCTTACTCCTTCAGTACTTTTCTTAAAGTTCACTATTTAAAGTTTAAGTCCCCTTCAAGCAATGAAACAGGACTGATTTTACAAACGTTTTATTAAATGCAGAAAAAGTATCATGATGTTGATTCTATTGTATTATTGGACAACCAGAAAGGTATTATATTAGTAAGAGATGATTAAGTAAGGTACATTTATTTATTCTGTACTTAAAAAATATTGACTAAAACGGCGTGCGAATAGTGATTAAATATAACCGAACTAAATCGGATAAGATATATAAGTGTCCTAAACATATCATCTGCTCAAAATATCCGAAAACGCCAGGTGTAAAAAAGAGAGACACGTCCGTTATACCGTGGGATGGGGTCAATTTGTTAAATAAGGAAACCCGACAAACGTTAAACGCAAAAAGAAAAATCACCAGACGTTTGGTAGCTATTTATCTGGCGCCTGTAATTGTAAGCGATGAAAAGGCAAAAAAAAAAAAAAAAACGGTTGAACAAATTTATATAAACGGGTCCCATATATCTTGCGAATAAGGTGCTTTATTGCGGTTTAGCTCCCCAAGGACTACGCCCAGTCTTGGTGGATCGGTCAATTTGCATATTTGGTAAACGTTATGGGGGATCTAATGCCGTGGAATCGTAAATTTTAGCCCTAATTTAAAATCATGATTTACTTCATTGTAACTTGATCCCGAAAGGAATTTTTAGGTTTTTATTTAATAATATCCTTTGTTAGAAAGCCCATCCTTCAGGAGGTATGAGGCTCGATTTCACTTCGAGAGAAATGGAGCAATACGTGTTTACTATAATTCAGAATTTGGCTTATAGGAGTTTATCCTAATAAGTCTTAATCACCCGCATCCTGCGTTTCGATATTCCTGTCAAGGCCAATGCTTAAATTTCAAAGTAGCTAATCCGTTTCCATCACGATGTTGATTTCAGATAATGTCAATACGCTGAGTTCATTGAAGAGTTTGATTGAAGGCGATAATTTTAGGAACGATTTTTTTAAAAATCCTTATTGCCCCAGATTGATCGTTTATCAGGAAAAGCTTTAGGCTTTATAACATCACGCTATGGCACCTAGGAACAGAACCGTTACCATAAGCATCAATCAATAAGGAAAACTACAGGAAATTAAGCTAGCATACCTTATACGAAATATCCTTTGTAGTCTATAAAAAAGAACAGAGAAAAACTTTGAATGATATTTTAATCGACTTAAAAGAAGACTATTTCGTCCAACGACAACTATTATAATTAGTTATAAAAGGAGATTCAGTCAGGAACTATTATAATTAGGAATAGAGCAAGGTATCCGGTGAACTACAGAAGATCGGTGTTGTAAAAGTATGAGATCCTTCAATTTGATGAAAGGGTAATAGGGATTTAAGGCCAAGACATAAGTTGGTAATAGTCGATTTTAAGAATTTTTGTATATTATCTAAAAGAATAGGAATATAGGAGAGAGATTTGTATATGAAAGGAGTGGTAGGTGATTGTGGGGAGTTGAAAAAAAGGGGAGACTGTGCTGTTTTGGGTTGTACAGCTGTTTAAATATTTAAGTATAATGTTGAGAGGAAAATTATATTCATAATTGCTCATATTATATTATATATTATACTACAACAACGTTGCTATTTATTTACTTCAGTTGTTACTTAATTTATTATGTTTACATAGTTTATTGTTCTTAATATTTCAATGTCCTTACTGTTTATAATTTCAATAAGTTTATTCACCTTGTTTATAATTAATATGTAAATTTTATGTAACTGTCACAATTTTCTATATCCTTTTGTACCTTGTCCATTCCAGCCCTGAAGAAGACCTGAAAACTCGGGTCGAAACGTTGGTATGAAATTAGTGGAAATAGTGGAAAAACTATTTTAGTCTCTTTCTGACCACAACCCCGTACCATCTCGTTCCTCTAAAATAAACAACGGTCAACCATCGAGTATTCAACAAAACAAGTTTTTCTTTAGTACTAACTACCTATTAAAGGATTAAAATCTAAAAGTTATTGGTAGGGTAGGAGGAATAGTAATTCATCTTCCCAACGGTCTAGATTACGTTGAATTCGGAGAAAATTCCGGAGAGCTATGAATGCTTTAATTAACGGCAAGAAAAATAAAACTTTGCGAAAAAATTAAATTAAATTTATTTTTGTTGTATCCATAAAAAGTTATTATTTAACAAAAAAGAAAAGAAATCGACTGATATTTAATAACTTTAAAACCGTGCAAAGTGAGATCTAAAACCAATAGAAGATATTTTATTTTTTTAAAATTATTTTTATTATCAACATAGTATAACCGAAAAATGTTTCATTGAAGTCAGTGATTCCACGCCCCCTTACACGGGTAACAAAAATTTAGCGTTAGTCGAAACATTTTTCCTGAAACTAGTTATATAATTCATTACTTTAATACATATAATTAAAGTTATTCTTGGACTTTGATTTAATAATAAAGATTTATTTTAAAATTTAATGGAGTGATACCAATGGGCAGTTTCTCTTCATGTTTTACATGTCATGTTACTTGTTGATATTTACTTGTTGTATTTATTTTTTAATATAGTTGTAAAATTCTTTAATTAAAAAATAATTAAATTTAATGATATATTATTAATAATAGTGTATAATAGTATTAACAGTTTCTATATATTAGTTAAAACTATATCTAACCTGCTGAAGGGCACTTTGTACATTTGCTGAAGGTTAAAAGAAATCATTCATTTGACCAGGTGTCGGATATGCAATTATGATACGATATGTTAGACACGAACGGATATAAAGAATTAGATACGGCCATTATCCGCCTTATAGATCACACACTTGCTCTATAACACCTTTAGCAATGCTATGCATATATGTTAAATGTTTCGGCGTTATTGATGCCCTGTCCAGATATTGTTAACCGTGGCCGTTAAGATTTCGAAAGATACATTGTGTAACATTGATAATTTTTTTTTCATATAGGGTTGGTATTTTATATATCATCAGATATTCTTTCACAAATATTTATATCAGTTTTATTTATATTTATAATTCAAGAACAAAACGGTTTAAGATTGATTTCTAGGATGAAAAATCCATTTCATTGTAGATAGTTATAGTTATGCTATATTATTATAGTATATATTTATGATAGTAATTATTTTTAAAAATATTGTTTTTATGTCTTCAAATATTTAATTTTTTCTCCTTGTTTAACTTCAATTTCATTTTTTTTTAATTCCAACAAGATTTTCTTTTTGACCATATATATATATATATATATATATATATATATATATATATATATATATATTATATATATATATATATATATATATATATATATATATATATATATATATATATATATATCACTTCTATTTCATACCATACTATGAGGTTAGCTTGAAAATTCAGGGTTGATCTTAGTGCTAATACTCAAATAATGCATAAAAAAAATATCATAAAAAAAATATCATTGGATCCCCTCCAAAATTAAAATATTTTTAATAAGGATTAATAACAATAAAATATGATAAAATTTGCAATATACTTAATTTTCTAATCATTTAACGTCGGATTTAACATAATATTTGCTATTTATATTGTTAAATAACACAATAGTTTTCTTTCACTTAGTTATTATGTCCTAACTGGCAATCCAACTTGAATAACGGTACTTAATCTTTAATTTTTGCTCGATTATAACGATATTGATTTTTTTTTTGTATTTATATTTTTTATTGATTTTATGTAACATATTAATTTACTTTTTTCTTTCTAGGTTTCGCCGTTTCCTAATCTCTTCAAGATAATGCGGAAAACAATCTTAAGTTATTATTTCTAGTCCAGATAACTGTCGCAGTTACATTATCAAGTAAGCGTACTTATGTATTTGAACAAAATAAAATAACTATCGTTTACAAGTGCATTTTTGAAAATTTGAAAATCACCTATATTTAAAACCATACATTGTCTTTCATGAAATATGTATATCCATGTGCATGCATTATTTTAATGTTGAATTAACTGTTTTTTTTTTTAAATAAAAGTTTCTGAGAGTTAAGCAATTCAATACAGAAATGGAAAGGTGGTGATTTCCAAAATTTAATTTTTATTTATTTACAGGTGGGAATCCTGAATGCTTTGCAATTATTCTTTGTAACGTTGTAAAAAAAAGATATTTTTATTTTTCGTTTTTAAACAACAGTTTGCAAGGATTTTCTGTGAACTTTTATATTCTCTACTAATATTAAGAGCAATAACCTTTTTAAACTCAGACAAGATCCAGTACCAAAATATTTAAATAGCATTAAATACATAATCCCTGGAAAATCTGATTTGTTTAAGAGTTGTCAAAATACATCAATCTTTTATCAGCTTATATTTAAAATAGTTGTAAACATTACCATGTTTACATTGAACGAGTTATATTATAACTTATTAAATTAAATTAAATTAAGACTTTTTTAATCCTATGTCTATTGTAATATATGGCTCATTCATAAAGATTGAAAATTATATAATTTAAGTACGTAATTCTTCATTCGGTAAGAGTAATCTTAGATCTCAATTTTATAAAAATATTATTGCCAATTATGTGAATATGCAGGAAACAATAACACTTGCTCCTTGTTATTGTATTTACAATAGTGTGTTATTCCAGATAAACAGCAGTTAGACAAGATAATTAATTAATTTTATCTTGTAGAAAACAAATATAGAAAAACCAATGTTTTAATAACTAATTTATACCTCCTCTAGTACTTATTTACTATTACTTATGAGATTCCATGGCGATTAGTATTGCACATTATAGTAAATTTAAATATATTTCTGTTCCCACACTTACTAGACAAACGCTCTAAACTTTCAATTAATTACAAAAGACTTATCTACATAACTATAATAAGACCTATATGGACAAACGGAGTTGAGCTTTCGGACTCCACCAAACAATGGAATTCCTATCGTATCCAATCCTTACAATCCAAAATCCTCCGTAAAGTTCTTAATGCTTCATACTTATATTACAAATAAAACCATTCATAAAGACCTTAATGTTCCTTCAATATGTTGCTAATTTGGCCCAATCCAGATATCCTTCCATGATAAATTCTCCTACCTCGATTCCTGATAAACCTACTAGGCGTCTGAAAATGAGATGGCCTCGTGGTCTTCTTACCTAGAATTATTTAGGGAATGCTACCACAGGGTAATGCTACCACTCTTCAACCCTGTTCATGCCAGTATCTCTAATTTGTGCATATTTAGTAGTTGTATTTGTATACAGTTGTAAATTTCATTAAATAAACAAAAACAATATATATATATATAATATATATATATATATATATATATATATATATATATATATATATATATATATATATATATATATATATTTCTTAACAAATTGATCAGAAATATTAATATGAAAGCCCGCAATTCTGCCAAAGAAAATTGAAATTAAACATGAATGGCGCTAAGTAGAAACACGATTCCTATGTTACTGCTAGAGCAAACGAAGCTATATCCCCGTGAGAAGTGCTCAACCTCTGGTTAACCGCAAGGCTCGGGTATCGTCTAGGGCTTAACGTCCTACTTGAGGTTCTAACATGCTATCTCACCTTCTTAGGGGATAATTAATTAATCTAAAAATAACTAATGCAGTAATTAATCCATTCCGTTCTATAAATATTAACTGATGCATTTCATAACGAACTGCTCAAGTTACAAACAATTATTCTCAACTATTTGACTCTGTCCAATTAATTAAAGTATAAACTAAATCTAAACATTGATGGCAGACTTTGGGTCTTATGACCAGACCCCAATTCAGAACAAATGGAGCATTAGGCCCTGGTAGTAAAATTTAGAGGGCTGCAAATTTTGAAAGAAATTGTTTTTTTAACTTTAAAAAATATATTTATCTCTACATTTTAATTATTTTTATCTTAATTCTGTCTATAAAATGAGTTTATCTTATGATGCGTTGATATTTATTTTGAAATACTGTTATAAAACTGTTGACTTTCATTGTGGAATAGGGGCATTAAAATTGAATGTACTCCTCGTGGAGAAAATCCTAGTTCCGGCTCTTCCAATTAGAACAAACATTTTTTTAATAAGTAATTACGAATTATATTATAAGGTTTAATTTTAACGTTATATTGTTATAATTATTTGTTATTATTATTATTCTGGTTATTCCTGACAATGCAGTATGGGCTTAAATTAATTCAAAACATATACTAAATAAAATATTATTCTGTCCTGAGGAAGCCGGTAACAGGGGCGAGAAAAACTTCATTGAAGTACTTCTCGATAACTTTTCGAATATAACAATAGAAAATGCTCTGGAAGTGCCAGACATAATAATTTTCTGATGGGCTCATGCTTTACCAATTAAAGAATACCTCTATCGCCAGATGTAAAAAGGATATGGCATCTCCAGTTGAAGTACAAAAATTATTTTTAGAAAACTTGGATAAATACAAGGAGTGTATCATCTTGTTTATGAGTGCCTCAAAAGTAGATAAGGAAGTAGGATGCTCGGTAATAAATTCTGATATTCGAAAACTATGTAAAGACCCTAAAGCTTCCTCAGTGATTACTGGTGAAATGGTAGCGGTAAGAGAAGCTCGTAGATTCAAAGAGACATCCGAAACTACCAATTGGGTCGTGGTGACAGAATCGATGAGTTCATTATAAATCATTGAAAATATCAATCCAAAAATAACTTTAGCGAAGGAAATAAGAAAAATTTGGTTGCTGCTAACGAAAAAGAGTCAACAAATAAGATTCATCTGGGTCTTTTCGTATTGCGGGGTCACTGGAAATTAACAAGCCGACCAAGCAACCAACGTGGCAAGGAAAAACTCTGATGGAACTAACCAATGAAACCCCTTTAGATGGTTATTAAAAAAAAAAGAAGGTATTCATGGAAAATTTTGCAACATACGTGGCAGCAAAAGGATTCCAAATTTAAGAGAAAAAAAACTCAATGCTCAGAATGGGAAATTCCTTATCGGAAAGAAGAGACAGCCCTCTGCAGATTATGAATTGAACATTATGAGTTTTCGGATGCCTATATACTAAGAGGACTTGATCCTCCGACCTGTAAGAAGTGCATTAACCAAAGAACTGTAAAACACTTTCTACAATACTGGCCTAAATAGAAAGATGTCAGGAAAAATTTGGATATGGAACCAAACCTTACAGATAATTTAAAAGACAAAGAAAAATGTGTTAAAAAGCATATTCATTCATGAAATCGGTGAAACTATACCACAGCACTTAACTTGAAAATGTTACCAATGGCCCTGAAGGGTAGAGGCAACAAAAAAATAAACAAATAAAATAAATAATTGGGAATAAGGAATAAAAAAAATTGTATTCGCAATATATATTTTTTTCATTTCACATTAAATTAATAAAATAAAAAAAAATTCAATTAACTAAAGATTTCTAAGTAAATTATAATGGATAAATTTGATATTCTGGTTAAATTTCTCATCTCTGGTCAAGAATAGGTCTGTAATAAATACGTACTTATAAAATAAAACACTTATTTAAATAGTAGAATTTGTGTTATAGTTTGTAATTTGTGTTATATTGCTACATTGTTTTTTTAGTTTTAGCCAGGATCAATAATATCCTTTAGAAATAAAATTTAAGTTGGTAAAAATCAAGAAATGGTATTTTTATTCTTTAATTTTCTGGCCTATCTGGACTGGCTAGAGTATATCCATCACTTAATAAAAATGCTCGTTTTTAGAACCCAATTTGTATAAAAATAGTTCTGATCTGTTATTTCGCTGGTTATACTAAAATTTCACATTGAAAAATAGTTAGTTTCAAATAACCCTTCAATGCCCGGTCGTCATATTTCAAAATACTCAATGTAAAACGCCATTGGCATATACAATATCTGCAGATTGTAATTAAAAAACATTTAAAAAAAATGTGTTCCTACCATAGAAATTGATATCAATCTAAAGTATCAACAGCACTAAATGGATGAAACCTTCAAAACAGCAGAGAAATAGAATGACAACACACCTGCGTTTTAGAGAGCTCGAAATACCAGATGCGTAGCTAAAGTTCAAGGTAAAGTGCGTATGTTTTTCTGGATTTATAACTTAAATAGCGAGTATTTCCCGAGTTTTGACTTCAGGCATTGACGCAGATTAAAAAAAAAATCTGCGGAAAATGGAGTCAGTCAGATGTCTGGAGGAGTAGCCAGACATATCCTTTGCATTGTTTTATATATTTAATTTTCATTTTAATCAGTTGCTTCGAAAGCAATGTCTCGCTTAGGAGACACCAATCTACGCCCACGACTGTAGTTATTTAAAAAAAAATTGTTTATTGAATAATATAACAATCTATCACTTGGGCATTGGTTATAGGGAGGTAAGATAGCATTCGCACAAAAAATAAAATAAATAGAAGCAAAATACCTAAATAATAATGACAAAGTATAGAATAAAATATATAATAAAAATAAATAGAATAAAATAACTTAAAGATAAGTAAATTAAAGAAAAATTAAACACATACATACCTATATACACTATTTACAATCAGGTGAGGGAACTCCTAGTCAGGTTTGTTCGCCCAACTATGGAGGGAAAATCAGGACTCCAGGAGAACGCTGCGCTACTGTCTCAAGCATTCCACTGGTATCAAAGCCAGTGGAGATTGATTGAGAAGTATTTTTAGAAGAAAAAATAAAAATATATATAGAGAGAGAGATTCTTTAGATGAATGTGAAATAGCCTTGCATTCTAATCCATAATTTGAATATAACTTGAAAGAAACATGATTTTTTTTTCTTTCGTCGTCCCAAGACCCCGACAGAAATCCTATACT